TTTTTTTTTCAAAAAAAATTACGTCTTTTTATAATTTTACTCTGAGTGTTTAGTTTTGACTTCGCTCATATAAAGCAAAAAAAAAATTGTTATTTTGATTAGTCGAAATCAAATTTTGCTATCTTTTTTAGCAATGTGATTATTAATTGTTTTGTTTTTATTTAAATTCAAATTTTGATCTTGTATATTTGAAATACTTTCATGGTTGATATGGAATTTGCTGATCTAAGTTATAGTATTCCTTTCAAATATGATCTGCTCTATATCTTAAAGTTTGTTAACTTCAGTGATTATCTCTGCCTTGCATGATTCAAACTTTGAAGTGCACAATTTATTTAAATAATAAAAATGGTTGAAAATTTTGTAATGAAAGCAAAAATTTTTTGTAATAATAATTGCTTTGCCTTCAGAAGTAATTCATAAGTGATATTGGCTGAAAATTTTAATAATTTTTACCTCAAAAGTGTTTTATAAGTGAAAATGATTCAAAATCATAAATAAAAATAATAATTTCTCTTGAAATACTTTTCAAGCTTTTTACAATTTTGTAGTGTGATGCATTCTATTCAACAATTTTTCACATTTTGAAATTTAAGAAAAAACAAGAAATTTGGAGGTTATAAGAGACTAAACAATTTTAGACTGTGCCATCAAACAATCGGCAAATGTCATCGATGCTATCGGGAGCTCCCGGCATGGCTAGTGATTATCTTCCTCGACATCATTCTATTTACGGTGTAACCGAAAGTAACGCACTTCCACAAATGTCTGATGATGAGATACTGAAGCCTGCAAAAGAAATTATTCATTTTGATGCACTTTCATTACTTTCTGTTCTTCAGGTAATCTAAAATTATAACAAATTAATTCAAACTTAAGTTTGGTTGCAATTTAAAATTAGCGCTTAAATATGTAAACTTTTTTGTCAGCTCAACAAGTTAGCAATTGGCTTTGATCTGCAACAGAAAGTTGTAAAGAAATTGTCGAACCAAGCAATAGTTTGATTTTAAATTCTCATAAATTAGTGAAGAAGGATCTTTCTTCGTTGTAATCCAATTTAAGGTGCTTTGCTCACTGGTAATATTTGGCTGTGGGGTTCTACGAATAATATGGAATTCAAAGTGGGCAATAGGCTTGGAAATTATCTTTGCTTTGCTTGTTTTCGTAGCGGGCGTTACAGGAATCTGTGCCACAAGTCGGAGGTTTCATCTTGTCGTTTATTATTATTATTATTATTATTATTATTATTATTATTATTATT